GACTATGAAAGATGCCGTTGAGCTCAACTAGTTTCTACTTCTCCAAATCCTGTAGATAGTTTCGTCAAGCGGTGAGGAAGAATGGAACGAGTGAACGAATGAAACAGAACCTAGGTTGGTTTCATAGTTGAGAGATGTGAAAATAGAACTAATGATCGTTTCGTCACTAGTCCCATGCTCAATCCTAACACGACGCATTCGGCACGGCATCATCTCAGGTGGCGATAGTTCTTTCCGAACTCCTACAGCAAGCGGCGGTGGTTTCGCAGGGCTACCGTATCATTCCATTGGAAGTTGGAACCCTCTCCTTCACTGATCGCGACTGCGCGCAAACGGAACGACGAGCGCGACGCCGTATTTGAGGAAAAGTCACCTCTTATATGGATCACCTCCTATGTGAGTCATGCGTAGTGCCAACTGTGGCCGGCCCGGCACTCGGCTGATTGCGATCAGTTTAGGGCTTACTGTGAAAGCAGCTCCAGGAAGACGGCACTAATTCGCTTCGTGATGCACCGTAGTCGGGTACTGAGGAATGCTCAGCAGTAGTGTCCACAGCGGACCAGTAGCATCGTTGTGTTGATAGTTCAGGCTTCATTTATTTATAATGCTTGCGAAATTTTATCGATTTTACTCATTTTTTCTTATTTGGCGTATAGATGGGACTATACTGTAGGTATGTCATGTGTTGTGCCGTTTTCACTATTTAGTGGAATAAAACCCCAATTAATTTGCAATGGTTTTAGGAATCTAGTCCTGATCTTGAAGTGTATGCCCAAATCAATACTATTCAATGCCAAAACGAAAATTTCACTCCTTCAGGGTCATCAATGAACTATTACACGTGAGTTCTTTCNCCAGTGCAAGGTTTAAAAAAGTAGAGAGCACTCTCAGTGTGTCTGTTTCAAGGTTTTATGAGACTCCAGGCAACAATTTGAATAGTACTATTGTGATAAATCTTGCCTTGGCTAGTTGGATGGAAGAGATCTTGAACACAAATTTTGGCAGCCAGGTTACGTATACGAATCAAACCCTGCAGGAGTTCGCAAATGTGAGGTTTCCTATTATATTTCTATTTCTTTTATTATCGAAAACATGAAAGGTTTCACATTTGTCAGAGATCTGGAATCGCCAGAAATCCCTTTATCCTCACCAGAATCCCAGATTCTATCTTCCCTTTGTTACGAATTTTTCACTGAATTGAAGCTATATTACTCGTGGAAGGAGCCATAGAAGTGAGAGCACGTACCAACGCGGGTTCTTCTGGATTATCTCCCAAGTTTGTGATAGAATCGAGGTTCTCAACTTCACTCAGCAGTCATGCTTTATTTGTCATTCGAACGGTACAGTTTTTGGACGATTCCTTGATTTTCTTCAATGATACTATTGTTTGTCCCTATATAATTTTAGTACACAATAAATTGCATGCTGTGCTTGCGTAAACTTCTATTTCATTGTGTTAGTCGGCGGCATATAAACTGGAGCTGGAGAAAAGTCAAAAGTTAGTTTTTAGATGATCTACTACAAATCAACAAAAGCTGGATGCGCATATCAGAAATGTAATCAGCCAGCGCCTCCAAGGGCTGTTGTAGCTTGCATATTCAATTCTGCGTAGGTTTCTTCTTTATTCTTCGAGAAAAAGCAGAAAACAAACATCGCCTTTGAAGGACTTTCCCCCAGTTGTTTTTGTGTCGATTTGATGCATGACTTTTTCAACATTTCCTATTTGTGGGATTATTTTGCTGCCTTCAAAGTTTTCAAGAGGCTCCAAGTTAGCGTAAGGAATATGTCGGAATGCATTACGCGACGGTTTATGGGAAGATCCGGCCTGAGTGTAGGAAAAATGGTTCATAGGAAGATCCGGCCTGAGTATAGGAAAAGTGGTTCAAGTTGAAAATTCCGCTTCATAAGACAGTCCATACTGACGTAACCACTATATCTTGCTCGCGACATTGCTAATCTTCCTGAATTCAATTAAACTCCTTCTTTCCATACCATATGGTCTTCTCCTTGATCCTCGATTTCCTTAGTTGGTACCAGTAACGCCTCTACTCATTCCTGTCGAAAACCGAAGTAACCCATTGTATCTTTCTTCGGAAACATGATGTTCATAATTCCTCACGGAAACATTGAACAGAGAAAATGCCATTCCCTTCGTCATACGAGGAAGAGAATGGCATTTTTCTGTTCAATGTTTTCGTAAAGAATTATGAACATCGTGCTGGCAGTCACCGCGCCTTCTGGTTAACGTTCTGAGAAGTCTACTCACCGTCAGTGACCGCCCTGGTCCAACGGTCACACAATCGAATGACGTGTTCAGCTAACCTTTCCTCAATTCCTTCGCGGAAAAAACAGCATCCCTGAAGTTCGTTGATTGACGGAGTTCGAAAACTAGATCTACCTGTGCACTTCCGTGTGTTGATAAATTCCGAGCATCGTCTTTTCCACGGCGCGTTGGAAGACGCTGACTGCATGACCTCAAAATTATCGTGAACTGTGCCTTCAGAATCGCAGCTCACGATAACTTTGGGTAGTCCAGATTATGACGAGAAATGGAAGATAAGGTGGAAAACAGTGCGATGAAACTGCGTGGATTGGTGTTTCCAAAGCGAAAAGAGGCTTCGGAAAATCGTTTCGAAGGGGGCTGGACGAGAATGAGACCAGAAATTTGAAGAAGAATGGGGCCATTCGGTCGAGCTGTACACCTTGCGTCAGTGCGTACGTGTGGGTCCTATTGCGAACAGCTTCGGTAGGCGAAAATTCATCTAGTCATAAGCATAAGTTAGCAAAAAAANAAAAAAACTCTGATAACAGCCAAAACAGCCCACCTTTCTTAGCCTCTTGCGGTAGAAAATTAAATTAGGGATCGCAACAGTGAAAAGAATAACAGAGAATAAGGGAATAAGGAAAAACATCACACCATTACTTGGCGATCAACTGATTGTGTGTGGGTCCTAGAGCGAACATTGCAATCTGTATCGCTCGACACTCGGGCGGGAAGTCTGGGCGACCCCAAAACGGGGTTCCCACTATGCCGTAACTGTTGAATTTTTGAGCACCAAAGGGCCCTTTCTGTTACCCTTGGAGCCTCTTGGTTTTTCTAAGGGGACTACTCAGAAACCATTTTCTTCGGGAACTGTGCCTTTAAAAACAATATGATGAATGCCAAGGATCGCTCATCAAGTTAGTACCTGAAAAGCTGGACTGTGTCGGTAAAGTGAATTTACATGTGCAGTCTCTCCGAGACGCTGAAGAAGAAATAGTGTTCGGGGTTTACCACCAGCAAGTGCAGTGGTGTAGGGAGTTCCGAGCCCCTTGTTGGACGAAGATCGTTGTCGCACATACCAATGAATTAAGAGTCATGTTAAACGGCCATGTTTTGCCATCTTGTAGTGGCAGACCGATGGAATTTGTTTTATCCAACTTCATTTCATAAAAAAGCAACACCAATGTACATTATGTGCACCACATCCATCAACAACTTGTTGCGAACAACTTGGAAGGCGGTGGATGCTTCGCCTGTACAAGTCCTGCGGTATTAAGCTAGGAAACAGAGTTAGATGATTTTTGAAATCCTCGAGGGAGTCGTTTTTTTGCCCACATAATGGCTGTCGAGGGACAGAAATGGGTGGTGGTTAGAAGGGGCAGGGTCGGGGCGGCATGGAGAATGCGGTCAGATTTCCCTGCCAAGTTTCATAATTTCGAGGTGTGTTGCCTCCGAAACATTGGGTCTATCACTGTTGTGGAACAGATACACTTGGACGAGTTCCGAAGAGATTATCTCGAGTTATTTCTTCGAAGATGGTAGCTGACTGTAGTGGGCCTATCTCGTAGCCGGTGGCGTTGGAAGCAACGAGTTATTACTACTCATCGAACGCCGCACCAGACGAACAGCATGAACTTCTAATTGGAATATCTGATCTCACAGTCGAATCAACTACTTCTAACGAAACTAGCCACTGATGCTTAAATCACACATATGCAGCACTTCTCATCTCTTCTGATGACGATGTCCAAGCAGCCCTTCCGGCAGGAACAAGAAGAAATTGTAGACAAGTCCCACTTTTAAGAAATGGTCGACCCATGAGAAGTCATTTGTCAAGCTTCGAAACTTTTCGAGAAACAAAGGCCTCTATCTAGAGCAGCAAGTGTGTTTGCTGGAGAGCGAGTTGTTTTGTTCGGTTCTGCTTCAATCAGAAAGCTTTGCCAATACAATGTGTACGAATTTTTTAAGCAACCTATTAGGTTGGTCGAAAAGTCTCGATAGGGTTGAGTTTATTTTCTGTTTTATTTTACAACTCAGCGAACAATACAAGCTAGTCAACAATATAATAACCGTCGTTAGTACAACATTGTCCCACCTAACGGACAGGTCAGCGATCTCTTCCCCAGAAATATTGGGAGTCAAAGAAGTCACCTGCCACTTGTTCGAGGTGATCATAGTTGAATTCTTTTTTACTAGAAACGCCTTGAGGGGCCGGAACAAGTGGTCATCTGAGGAGGCAATATCAGGTGAACAGGAAGGGCGCGGAACCGTGTTCGGCCGCACTCTTCCAATTTTGCACGGGTCCCTTTACCCATGGAGGCCTAGCGATGTCATGGAGGAGGTGCACAAACGTTCGTCTAGGCCGTTTTTCTCGAACGGCACAATCCTGCATCTGACCAGCGTAGTAAGGAGCGATGACGGTGTCGCCTTGCTTGGGCACTTCGTAGTACAGCATTTCTTTTGAATCCCAGAAGCAGCAGAGGAGAAACTCCTCGGGGTGGACGCCGGATTTGGCTTGCGTCGGCGGCTGTTCTCCTCGCGGGGTCAGACAGTGCGGTGCTTTTCAGCGTCGTAGAGGATCCAGCTTCTATCCCTAGTAACTAGATTCATCGCTCGTTGCAATGTGAGCGAAAAATAAGAAACTGACAAATGGATACCCGGGTGAAACTGACAAATGGATACCGCATGCTACCGGTCAAGACATGAGGTATCCATCGAGTAAGCATCTTTCCGCAACCGAAGCCTGAAGGCGACTGACGACTGTTGATTGGGCACACACAGATCTTGTCGCAAGACTGGAGAAGTTTCCAAAATGCTCCACAACTATTACGTGATAGATCATGGATATAGGTCGAAAATTGAAAATGCCGCACTTTTCAAAAAACCCTCAGGTCTTTTCGATCAACCTAATAATATATTATCTAAGAAAGAACACTTGTCAGGTCACCAAACATTTTCAACTTCTTCTAGGCCGGAAACAGGCAAACCGATTTATCTTGGTACCGCAGGTGTAACCGGATGCAATAATGACGGAGATTGTAGTAGTGTATTTAACGGTACCAAGTGTGGGCCACAAGGACTCTGTGGTTATAGCTTCACAACAACTACCAAAATTCATTGTAAGTTTTCCTATCATATCTCATTGCTCCTGTGCAAATAAAACAAATGTTCACTACCATTGTCGACTTAAGTTTCCTACACAATTTCAGCTACAGCTTCTACAGCACCAGTTACGACTCCCGCAACAGAAAAGGCAACATCTGCAAGAACAACAGCAACTCCTTCGGAGGCAAGCTCAGCTTCCACTCAGGGAACGGGAGCTTCTTCGAAGGCAGCCTCAGCCTCCACTCAGGGAACCACAACTCCAAAGGCAGCCTCAACATCTATTCCAGAAAAAACAACCGCCGCAGCAACTACATTACAAACTGTACTGACAACAACTGCAGCAACAACAACAAGTAAGACATTCAGAATGACGATAAATTCGTTGAAACTATATTCACTGCAATGTGAAAACAATGCTCTTTGTAGTCATAGCATATAGGCAGAATCCTAATTCAACAACCTTTCTGATCTGAGAATGGCAATTTCACCAAATCACTTCATAAGGCTATGCACAATCCTCTGGGAACCAGAACAGGGTTATCTTAGTGGTTAATTGCATCCATGTGACCGAAGTCATGGTAGTACGAAAATTGCGAAGAAAGCGCGGAAATTTGCGAATTAAGAGAAATACAAGGCTTCAAGAAAGCAGTTAGAAAGGCTATTGAACGAGACTACGGATCTATGACCGGATGTTTGGATGTTCCCAGCATGAGCGTACTATTCGTCAGTGTCAGCTCCATGGTGAATTGTCGGCCTTAACAAGGCCGTCATAACACGGCCACTATTGGGTGTGTATGTCGGCCGACCGGTTCCCTATAGCGCCCTTTTTGACCCTACTATTTCTCCCATGCTGTCCTTGGAGGGCCACAGATTCCTTCTAGTGGGATATGAATCAATTTTTTTACGTATTTGGATGAGTTGTTGTACATACAGGTTCAATGCCATTGAAGAAAAAATTTCCAAGTCATTTTGACAAGCCAATGCTACCAAGAGTAGAGAGGAATCAAGAGGTGCGTAGGCCCTCCCTAACAATTAATCATACTGCTCCCAGTTAACACTGTGATTTTATCTGCTTATCGTGATCCTCATGTCACATAAGTTTGCCCAGACATTCAATGAAAGCGATCGCATGGTGACTTTTGTGAATTCCAGATCAATCCGAATTATTTATCGAGTTGATCAACCGTATGAGAGAAAAGGTAGCGAAAGGTGACCTGTCCACGTCGTATGGACCTTTACCATCGTCTTTGCAGATGTTCCAAGTGGTACGTTTCAAGTTGTTTACTTCTCTACATAATATATATAAGGAAATATCACAATGCAGTCTGCTA